TAAACACTCTCACTCTCTTTTTAGATGGCTCAACTTTGGCCAAAGGTCTTGCTTTCCACCCTTCACCCAAATTTTTGTAAATCAAATAGTTTATGTCCTTTTTTCTAATATGTGTTTCTTGTAGGCATGTTATATCTTTGCTCCATTTATATTCCACATCAAGCATTTGTCATCCATAATCAAGCCACATTTTTAGAAAAATGGATACCTGTAGCACCTAGTTTAGTATCATCCTGTTCAGTTTCCTGTTGTACCTATTGAACTTTTTGAGTAGTCTCATCTGAAATCTCCATTTGAATCTCCTCCAGTTCCTTCTTTAAATTTTTCTAGATATTATCTCGCCTTCTGGACAGAATTCAGTAGAAACCTCTGTTGTTTAAAAGTAAAAATCACACCTTCCATTTTTTCCCATCAAAATGAAATCTTTTCCTGCTTTAATCTCCCAGTCAAAAAAGAATGCAAGATCCTAATAGGAATTTGTTTAAGAACAATTATATCTGTATTATCAATCTTCATTCTTGTATTAAAATGCTGCTGCCAAACTTATTCTATATACTTTATCAAAGTCCCAGAAGGGAAGGAAAAGAGAGAGAGAAGAGTTCAGGCTGGCCACTGAGAAGCTATCTTTCCACAGAGGCAATAAATTATTTCTTCCAGCTACAATGGAGTATTCTCAGTAAACAGTATTTGTTTTTTCCTCTCTGTTGATTCTCCGTAGAACAGACATGAAGTTTGCTATAAATTCTGAATAGTTTTTTTCTTTGTATGTTTCACAACGTTGGCAGGTGCGTGTATCTATATTCTTCAAAAATAAAAGATTGGAAAATTAGTATTATGCAAGTACAATAAACAAAATGCGGAGAGCGAAGACAAGGATGTATCCATGCCTGACATAACAGTTCCTAATAACAAGATTTCTACTGCAGCTAGAGTGAAAAAAAAATCTTTTGCTTTCCTAAATTTGAAGTATAAGTTTCAAAACTAGGTTTGTGAGCAGATGGTTCCAGAGGAAATACCAGACAGACTGAAATTCCAGGTTAGTAGAATTCAGTGACTAAGTTTTTCTTTTTCCTGTCTATTCCACACTACTGCAACAAGCAAACAATCCATCTTACAGCTACCAATTTATATACTTATGACTTTTCGTCCTGTAGCAACTTGCAGCCTACAAAAAATTTATAGCTAAATGTTTATGCTTGCCTATTTTCTTACAGATTCTTAAATGCCTCTAGACATTTTCCTGCAATTTACTCCTGAATCATAATTAATTCCTGAGATTCTTATGGACCACAATGCTTAAAACAAAGTTGGACACTGTCCATGAACTAAATATGGTCTGAAGATCCTCTAGCTAATGTTTTGAATAGTGCAGGAAGTTCAGTGTTAGGAGGAGAGGATTGTGGGGAGAGGATATTTAACTCACAGTTCACCTCAGTGCTGTTCAACTCATCAAATATCTCAACTTGACAAAAGGAAAACTAAACAGCTTCAATAATCTTTTCTCAAGTATAATCTTGAACTCACAGCAAAATGCAGGAGGATTATCTCAAGCCTCTCCCTAATGCTGAAGAGAAAAATGGCTGAGGATCAAGGCTGAGAAGAGAAGTGGGGCGCCTTTTATCTCCGCAGGATCCTCAGAATTAATGGACTAGAATCCTTTGGATTAGGCTAGTAGCCTAATAGGGTATAATACATTTAATACCCTAGTATTTCATGTACTGTTTGAAATTGGGTATGTTCAGCCAAATTGGACACATTCCATGTAATGCACGCAAAACTTTGAAGATGTATGTTAAAGTAAGATATGCAAATTTCTTGAAGATGCTTGAACAGCAATTTATATTTTTCTGTCTTTGAACCATGCCCATTTCTCTCTGGTTTGTTACACCAGGTTGGGGAAACATTCTTAACTCTACTTTCCTTCTAAGAGCAACAGAAATCCAAGTCTTTTCATCCCCTACCTGAAGAAAGAGTTAGTATTAAGGATGCCAAAGGAAAAAAGTCATTTGGTAGAATAATACCCTGGTGTTTGGAGTTAAAGTAAAGGCTCTCTGTGGACTTTTTTTGTTAGCAAGAAAAGAGCCAATCTCATAGAGGTAAACATTCTCAGCTTCCCTGGAAATAGCACAAAGAGCATAACTTTGTCTCTGATGTGTGGCATTTGGACATGCCCTCCGAAGAATATAAGTTACGCTGGAGAGGCCTACAACTGTTTTTGTAGCCCTTGAAGGGCGAAGAAGGGAAAATAGAGGCAGTTACAGTAGATGTTCAAGCTTGGGTGTTTCAAACTCCAAGAAGCTCAAGAAAGGTAACCACAAAACACAAAAGGTGAATTTGGGTTAGGGAACACAATTTAGTACAATTTGAGAAACACTGATGGAAGGGCATTCGCAGGTTATGTACATATTTATTATAAATAGAAATTATTATGAAGTTAATCTATAGCAGATTAAGAGCTAGGTGAAGGAATGTTTCTATAATGGATTAAAGCCACATCCTTCAAAAAAGACTCCATAAACCTGCCTGATAAAGGCAATGGGGGTGGGTGGGGGGTGGATCCTCTGGGAAAACAACTGATAGAGGAAGTTAAGGCCATTTTTCTTAGGGCCAGAGTCAGTCAGGGTACGTTTTCTTTTCCCTTTCTTCTGTTTTTTGTGTTGTGGCTAAAACCTGGCTCACCTAAAGCAACCAAATCATTCTTAAGATACAACTTTTTATTAGGTATGCAAACAACAAAACAGTGTACACTGAGCTCCCAGCAAAGCATTAGTAGCTTGCTGAGCAGCTCTGAGCAAAAGCAGAGCCGCAGCATGTACACCTTTGGCAAGACAAAGGAAAAGGCAGACACAGTGCAAATTACAGCATGACGCTGGAATATTTTTGATAAACCCATCTGGGTGACCTTATTATTTCTCCTTTCCTATTAGGTCAGCATGTCAGCTATACTATCTTTGAGATACAGTCAGTCAGTAAAAAACAATTTGGTTTACTGGCCCACTGGTCCCTGTCTGATTCCTCCCCTTGTTGCCACTCAGGATCAATTCAATGTGCTGAGAATGTTTTCTTACAAGGACATTTTAAACAACTCACATACGGGGGGTGGGGAGGGGAGATAGTACCTTTTACCACCATATCTAAGATTTCTTGAGTGATTTTGTGAATGAATAGAAGCTGTTACAAACTTCTTGTACACCAATTCAGCGCAACATGTACTTTACCCCAGGTTAGACTTACCATTTCATGGGATAGAAATTTTTTAATAATTCTGACTATACGATGCACACTATCGCAAAACTTTGAATCCCCAAATTTAGACTCATACAAAACTACTTCCATCTCAAGCTGAAAGCATTTTATCACCGATACATTACAGTGACTCTAGGAAAAAGAAAAAAAGAAAAATCAATAGGTTTGTAAGGTAAATGTTTTCTGGCCTCGTTCAGGCATGACATTTTGCATTCATTTTTGTCACTCTCCGTTCTGGAAGTGGAGAGGTTACACTTAGTAGAAGTGTAATATATGAATCCATATATTATTTTTAAGAAAAATGATAATTTACAAAAATATATATAAATACAGTATATATTGTGCTGTATATTGATTACAATAGTGGACAAAGCCTGGAGAGAACGAAGTTCAGTTTTCACTTATCTATGAAACCCTTTGTAAGCTACAGTGTTATTACATGGAATAGACTTTAACAATAAATATTTACAAATTAAACCAAATCAGTCTGAACATTATCTTCTACAGTTATATATGACTGAAATAAAATATAAAATGTCATGATTTCTGCCATCTAATTAATTGTTAATTAATTACAATCTGATAAACATGCAAGCATGTCAGTTGGGTGCCTTGTAAATTCCCTAAGTGGAAGTTCCAAAGCTTGGGTGCAGTTACTGAAAATTTATTTTTTTAGTTCCAGTCAGACTTATTTCTCTGATAACTGGGACAGACAAAATTGCTTATATAAATAATCTAAACAGGCTGGCAGATGTATGTGGAAAAACTGGGACCATAAACAAATCAAGGCAATAAGTTGTTTCAACAAGTAAGCAGCAGGCTCTTGAATGACTGTTCCAGTTAGCAACCTGATTCCCACATTGTAGACCAAGTTTCAGAACACTTTTCAAAGAATATCTCCCAGAGTACTCCTGTAGTCCATAAGCAGTGAAATAGGATAATGTACTACTACAGTTAGATCTCTGTATTGATTTAAAAGGCTGGTGAATTACAGATTTTAAACTGCATACAACATATTTTATGAACTATTCAAATTTCTGAAAAATAAAACATACTTACAGGGTAATTTAAATCTGCCGTATATAAAAAGGCATCAATCTAAAAGAAGAAAATTGCTATGTAATCAGCAGTTTTAAAACATGTTTTTCCCCAAAAGATGAGATTAGAAATCATTTAAAAATTGCTCTGCATCTTGAGAACATTAAGCATCTAGGGAGTATGATTTGGCAGCTGTTGAATTTAATAGTGAAATCTATAATTTTTCCAAACTATATAGGAAAAAGCTGAAGGGTTTGCCTTTCAACAAATCTGCCTTACAGTACTTGCTGAATCAAAGTTTAAACATGATTTTAGGAAAAGAGTTATTTGGTATTTAAATTCAAGAGAAACATATTTTCAGAATTAGAAATGCTTTAAAGTTTTAAGTGTCCTCAGAGAATATACTTTTAAAAATAGAACGTGAAAATACTAGAATCAGTCATCCAGAATACACTCAAATATTGTCAGGAAATAAGTTAAAACAGTTCCAAGAAAGAGAGACAGAGACAGAGATAGAGATCTTTTTGGTTATCCATTTGTAATTAAAACGGAGAGGAGAAGTTACACAAATTTATAAAGTGTCTTTAACTGCTAAGTATTAGTTGTGAGCACATAGCCTTAATAGCCATTTCGCTCACATGTATGTTACGTCTTGGGCTGGCGGGCTAGTTAAGTATTGCAGCCTCAATATATACCTAATATATTTTTATATAGAAGCAATATAGAACCAGACAGTATTTCAGGGGAATACTGAGGGAAGTAAGGGAAAATCAAATGAATCACACTGACAAAGCACCATGTATGTACCCGTCACAATATATATATTTTTAAGCCCTGTATTCACTTCTATTTTGTGAAGTTACCTCAGAGCTGACTTGAATCTTTTCCAAATCCAATAGCACTTCAGCCAAAAGAGTGGTGGCCTGTATAGGTAGTAGACATGAGCTTGTTTGAAACAAAAGAGTAAACACAACATAAGTATCAGAATACTTCAGTGGCATCATAACAAGAATAAATAATATTTAAATCATTAACCAAAAAGAAACATGTAACATGCGCATGATCTCTGAGCATTGCAAAATTATATGATAAACTGATAGAGGGATCATTCCAGCCCTAGGGTTAGCTGGATATGATTCAGACATCCAATCAACCATGCTGAGATGTCTGTTTTCCTTAATATTTTACCATAATATTTCATGTTTAAAGAATGAGCTTGAGATAGCAATAGTGCATTATCCAGTTCCTAAGATGGAGACTCCTTACAATGGGTGTGGGGGAAGAAAGAGGATATGGGGCATGGTGGGAAAATCATTCATCTGGGCTTCTAGGAAAGGACAGCATCAAGAAAACAGTACACTTTTCACATATTGCAAATGTGCATTTTATGCACAATTTATACACTGCAGGTACTGTATGAGGATGCAAAGTGATAAGATACCAAATGGGGGGGAAAATACCAGCACTTTCCTTCACTCACCTCAGAATAAGATAAAAAACCAGAAATTTCTTTTTCAGGTTTTTAGGAACCTGGAGAACAGACTTCAGCATAGTATTAGAGATCATGATTTCTTTCTTGAATATTTCTTGCCCCCATACTGGATGAACCTTCACCACTGGTGAGGAATACAATCGTTATCCTATATGTTGCAAATTTTATTTGAAAAAAAAATTATTTTACTACTATAATCATTTCTGTAATTCTAATTAATTAAAATACTCCTGGAATCAGCCTCTCATATATTAAGAATCCCCCAGATGAGGAGATTTCAATTTCCAGAATTTTCAGCCAGTGTGCTTTTTCCTAAGCACACTAGGAACTGAAGTCCACATATCTGGAGTCTTCCTGGTTTGGAAGACTGCACTAAAATATTTGATATTGAGAATTAAAGTGAAGAATATACAGTTGCAAGAAAAAGTATGTGAACCTTGTGGAATTTCATGGTGTTCTGTATTAATT